TTTTTTTTTTTTTTTTTTTTTCTTAGGCCAAAATGTTTCCATCCATCGAGTATCTCCGAGGGAGCATATGTGAAAATTGAATTTTCTTTGGGACGGGTTAAGGGGGAGGGGATGGATTAAAAAGGGATTTGATTTAAAAGGTTTTCTTAAATCAAAAGTCAAGGTAAGTTGTATATATTGAGAAATATTTTTTCTCAGTTGCGTTAAAGGAGAAACATATCGATGTTTCGAACGATCATCGAGTGCTATGGTCAATGAACACGCATCCGATAACCTCGAGATCGAAGGACGTCAATCTGAATGGCATGGCGTTACGGTTATCGGACACGCCTCAAACCACTTTGTGATTGTAGTGAGTCCTGTTTCGATCCTAATAGACAGGAGAGCAAAAGTATCCTGCTTAATAAATTAAACTTGCGACTCATGACAATCTCTGGATATATTTTATAAAATAGAATAGACCTGCATCGATCGTTTGATATCGAAATGAAAATCATCTCTTCATCTCTCTCTATCGTGTCAATCGTTATTCCAGGCTACGCGATATTTCATAATCAATTCCGTATCAATTTATCTCGAGCATATCGAATCGCGTCCGTAAGTGTTCCTCCCCTATTCTCATTTCTCAGATTCCCTCCCTTCCGAAGGGAGGGAAACGTTATCCGATTATTTCGCGACACAAATCCATTCTTCGATCACCACTCCGATTGTATTTTCTTTCTAAGTGATATTTGCCAAGATAACTCTGCCCACTTTCCTCCAATTTCCTTTCGTGGACCCATATTAGATGGAATTCCAATTCTAGCTTCTTCTAATCCGAAACATGTTCTTGTTCAGGAGTATGGTCACGATACTTGTTGTTTTATTAATTATTGCTGAGATATTTTAAGGGAATAATTTTAAAAATATATTCCTCGATATTATTCGACAAATCTTTCTTTAAACAACAAAGTTACAATTATTAAGATGGTGTATAATCGAAAAATCGCTTAGTGATGTAACGCTATATTGAAAATTGTGTTATTAAGTTGCGAATTATTAGCAAGCGAGCAAAATAGCCGAATTATTGGAGGTTGCATACGTAGCAATTTATTTCATAACTTGCTAATTAGCTTGCCAGATGGACATGGTCGTTTGCGGTATTGGCTTAGTTGCCCAATAAGTCCTTCTCGTATATTGCCACCACTAAGGGGGGTTTAACGGGTCTACGTAACCACCCTCGTAGATACCTCGATTTTCCAATCGGCATTGGAGAACAAGATGGACGGAGAGAAGAGGGAAGCGGGGAACGTAATTCGTGCAACAGCTGATCGATAGCATTCGGGATATGTCATTGATGATAAGCTTTATTGATATTTATTATCATTGGATAGATCGAAGTTAAAGTTGAATTACATAAATGTATCGATTTAATGAAATATTTATACTCACTATTATTAATTATCATACAACTATATAATTAATAAGCCTTTTTCCAATATCGAGGATAATTTCAAAGAATATATATTTCTCTTTTCAAGTAATCGGAAGACTGAAAATTCAATCAAATCTCAATGCCGTTGATTTTTCGATTCTTCGTTCTCAAAATTCCTTGTGAAATCCTTTATTAAACTTTACTTTTATAGATCGCTGAATATTTTTCACGATATAAAGTATCTCCAATTAACTTGTACAATCGTTAAAAAAAAATCACATTTTTATTAATGCTTAATAATAAAATAAAATTGTCAAAAATTTCATTCTTCCATTCTTAATTATATTATTTCTATAAGTTATTCTTTTACCTAATTCGACAATTCTCGATTGTTACAGGTTTGCACAGCTTATATCCGTGCAATCGCGACTCCGGCAAGGAGTAACTATCTGGGTACATGAAAGAAGGACATGAACTACTCTCAAGGTGAGCCAAGTTAACTACCATCCTCTTGAATCCTCTGGAATCCCGCTGCTAGTCCAACCCGATTTTACGAATTTCCATTCAATCGTTTCGCGACGCGATTTGATACGCGCGATTCCATACACATACATGTACGTACACACACGAGACAGAGAGATGTGTGTACACGCGGAAAATTCGTCGAAGGTTTGTCGCCGTCCGATCTCGAGATTCGCTCGAAGCCAGCAACCGGGCGGCGGTCTGAAACAGTTCGGAAATTCACTCAACTAATCAAATACCGCTAAAACCGCTAAACAAGTTAGGTTAGCAATCTACGTGCTCCGAATGGCAACTCCGAACTGCTCTGCGGCTGCGAAGCGCGAAAACGCTCGCGACTGCTTCCGCAATCCGCACGCCAGTTCAACCTTCCTCCTCCTTCCCCTCCTCCACCCGCTATACGGAATCCCTTAACGAGGGGAAACGACTCGACGCAGACGTGTCCGACTCCTTCTGATCGCGGATGGAATATACGGCCAAAGTAATCATTCCTCGATTCCATTTTCTTTCAGATGTCTGCAGTTTCCCCCTCCTTTTTTTTTTATTAATTTCTTTTCTCCAAAGTACACAAATTCTCAAGTAAAGGTTAAGGCTTTTTTTTCCAATTTTGAAAATACGAAGATTGTAATAGGAATGTGATAAATTTGGAATTTGTTGTTTTTCTTCAAAAGTATAAAGGTTTTTCGTTGGATTAATAAGAGATTCGAGCTTTAATTCGAAAGAATATTTGTTGTGCACTATTACGTGTATAATATTGTACGCGTATGTTCGTTCAATTATAATCGAAACTTTTCAATTTTTATTACAATTCTCCACAACTACCAACGAAACGTAATATAAACTTGATACGTTCCCCGTTTATATATATATCGATATTATGCGGGGAAGGAACACGTCCAGTATCATTTGCACGATGTTCATTCGGAATGGACCCTGTACCCGGTGCCCGAAGAATTTAATTTCGCTCGAAAAGCCATTATGTAAAAGACCCCGATCTCTAACCCCCCTTCCTGGACCCAATGCTATGCGGCGCTGTTGGTAAAAAGTCAAGCGTCTAAACCGAACGAGTTTTTAATTGTAAAAGCATCACACGCCTCGATCTCGTTTCTAGGATGAAAAGACACGTGCGGTTAAGATGTATTCTCCTTCTTCCAACCCCCGTAATTGTTCTCATATTTGTTCACGTTTCTTAGCAACGTGTGTGTGTGTGTGTGTGTGTGTGTACACAAGTGGCTTTACAGGTGTATTCATATGCAAATAGGTGGTGGTCGATTGTCTATTACTGGAAGATGGTAAAAGAGGATTCGAAACGTAACGTAATTCTGTTTCCCCCGTTGTTGTGCATTTAACGGGTCGGCTCTGCTGATAGTTTTGTAGTAGAAATGCGGGAGTAAAATGCGGGGGATTAGGAATGGAAATCGAGTCGATCGTTTGACAATGTGCGTGGAATGCGTAAACGGCCGTTTCGAAGGGAAATGCGATTCCTGGGAAGATGGTTCCTGTGCAGGTGCGCGTGTTGAGAATGTTTTCTTGATAGGCTATTATCCGATATCGTACTGTTACAGTTGAATTCCTCCTTTTGCTAAGGTATTGATGGAAAATTGAAATTTATGTTCGGTTGTTGGTCGCAAAGCTTTTCATTTTTTTCGTTATTTGAAAATAACGTTGATCGAAATTTTTTATTGTAAATAAATTAATATGATGTTACGTGCTCGTTTGATTTCTATTCTACGTTTCTCGGTTTAAAATTCTCTTAATAGCGTGTTATATTTAATGTTTAATGTAAGCTTTTCAAAGATTAATTAATTTGCAACTTTTACGCTTCATATTTATTTAATTTTAAACACGTATAAAAGAAATATTCGACTTCGAGTATTGTACTTCATTATATAATGTAAATTATAATTTTTCGTAATAAAAAAGTTGATAAATTCAGTTAGTTTAAAGCTTCAAATCAATGTGTAAATAATATTATTTATGAAATAGCCATATTAATAAAATCAGATATTTCTTATATCTTTATCAAAAACTTTCGAAAACAAATATTTCATTCTTTTTATATTTAACATAAAAAGACAAACACAAAAAAATAAACATTATTGTGCCTCCCTCGTTTTATGAAATTTTTTGAAATTGACGAACGTGACTTCCGTGTGTGATAAACAGATCAACTTTTCGAAAAGTTAACACGTCACGATCACCCTCCCTCCAATTGAATTTCACGTGTATGATACGTGATGTATGTACATGCGTTATTATAATCTCCAAAAGAATTGGCATTTCGAGTTCGAAGGGAGAGGGGTGTGGTGCGTCTGGTGTCGATATATTGCATGATCAATAATACATCCCGATTTCGAATATTGGATTGAAGCGCGAGATTCCTATCCTGCGAGAGTAGTAGTGAGCCACCGATCGAGAACCTTCTTTCAGGAGAGGGGGGGTTTATAAAAGGAAAAAATTCAGGGAAAACGGTGGGGCGCGGCGAATAGAAGGCAAATAATGAATTTAGTCTCTTTTAAACAGGTTATTGACGGGATCC